GAATGCTTACAGGCTCCTTTGTCTGGATACGCACTGCAGCTGTCTCCTTACTCCCTAGTGGCGAGTGTGGACACATGCCAGTTTTCTCCTTTGCTTTCGATAGAAATGAAACCTGGACACTCAGGCTGGAAGGAGGCAATAGCACATTTATCACATCCAGCTACAGAGAGAGCTGGGCCCCAGGAGCCCTCTGGCAGGCACCCACTACAAAAGCTAGATGTAGCTTGAAGGAACCATGACTTAGGGTCTTCCTGAAGCCAGTTGTGCCCTGCCTCTGCAGCCCACTCCCCTTTTGCCTCAGACTGTTTGAATGTTAGCAGGAAGCTGCCGCTGCACTTCTCAGGTGAAACTTGACTACCCGTGGAGTAAGAGATTGATCCCCTCTAGGGCTTCAGTGCCGATAGGGTTTAATTCCAGCTTCCTAACTTTTCCAGGAATCCCAAGGGGTTCACCTTGCACCTGAATAATCCACCCAGAGGCCAGCTACAATCTCTTCCTTTAATAGAGCAAGGTCCCAAAAGACCAGAGCCTTATGAGGTGGACAGCACCATCATTCCACAGGCTTTAGTGCCTGCAGTTCATTCGGGAGCATCACTGTTGCGCAGGCCCAGCTAAGTGGGTAATTTGCCTGTGCCAAAGGGTTTTTCAGACAAAGTTATTCTCTTCCCCTCTCTCTCACCCAGGAAGTTTGTTTTTGCTCATGTGAGTCTTGGTTTACTTTTGACTGCAGACTGTTTCTGTGACGGAGTCCAAAGAAAGTATCCTCGGCGGGGTGCTGAAAGTGCTTCTGCACAGCATGGCCTGTAACCAAAGTGCACTTTATCTCCAACACTGCTTCGCCACACAGAGGGCTTTGGTTTCAAAGGTGAATTCTCTGCAGATGCTATAGTATGTCCCGAGCGGCAGTGATGGTTAGGCTGTTTTGTTTTTGTTCCTTTGCATTGGGGTCACTTCACCAAGCACTTATTATTTTGTGCAGTATTAATTTTCAGGAAATGTGGTGAGGGAGCAGATAAAACCTGGCTAGTTTTCGTGATCGATATCTGTATTTATGTACTTTGGGTTTGATGACTATTTGCAAACCTGTGCGAGTTCCTGCTGGCCAGCTGTAAGCTGGCAAAGGTACCTGCTCAACAGAGAACACAAAGCACAGGTGAAATTTAGACTATGAATCTCAGGTAAAATTAATTTATTTTCTTGAGCCCATAGTTTAAACAATTTCCCTATTTCTGCAGATGTACTGGAAATAGACTTGAATTTTCAATCTGAATTTATGGTAAATCAGTCTAAGAATGTAGGAGCAAGGTATGTTGGATGATGTAAAGTGAGTTACCTTCTAGTGCTGCCGGTGAGTTTGCTTTTGCCTCACTGGAAATGTGAAGTGATATAAATTAGCGTCATTCCTCTCAAAACAGAGAGGATTGGATTTCCTCTAATGCTAATGTATGCTCATTGCTGAGGATCACCACAGTCTTTTTGCCTTAGCGTTTGTTTCTGGCTGTCTGGGCAGTGGTTTTCTCATGCGCTGTTTTTCAGTTCCCTGAGCTGCTGTTTGAAGAAGAGACTGAGCAGTGTGCAGATCTGTGCCTGAGGCTCCTGAGACACTGTAGCAGCAGTATCAGTACAATACGGTCACATGCGAGCGCCTCTCTTTACCTTCTGATGAGGCAAAACTTTGAGATTGGGAACGTGAGTATCTTGATGCACTTTACTAGGTTCTTACATGTGAACTGGTTGGGGACTGCTGTATGGAGCGCTGTGGCTGCAGGAGAGCTCACCATCCAAATAAGCATGATGTTCACAGGGAAGAGAGGCACGCGTTAGCAACTTTGCCTAGCTCGTAATCTTGCTTTACCTCACATTGCTGCTCAGTGGCGTAGCAGGAGTGTCCATTCTCCAGTGTCAGAGTCTTAGCTGTATGCCCAGAATCTCTTCGGAGAGCCAGGTGTCTCTCATGTCGTTTTATGGAAAGATGTAAAGCCCTGCCTGGAACATCCACTGTAGGAGTTTCCAAAGTCTTCAGTCAAACAGCCGACTTGTTTACTGTTTGCTATACGTATAGACCTGTTTTGAGTACAGGCCTCATATGAGAAGTGACCGGAAACCCTATTGCCCTGGAGAGCATGACAATAACAGCCTCTGTGTTGCCTCTCCAGTCAGAGTCTGTCTCTATTTTGTGTCTCTGCCAATTTAAGGGACAGCTTGCACTCAGGGGGCTATTTGGAGGAAATCCCCTCTGCCCTGCCTACACGTGTCTCTGTGTGAGAGCAGAAACAGCTATGCAGCCCATCTTGTGGCACAGCTAGTGTTTATGTCCTTTCTGAAAAGAGTTGTGTTAGTGCAGGTGAGTTAGAGCTGCTGGGATTTGTTTTCACTCAGATGTTATTTACCTCTAATTAGACCTTAGCTTGACTACTAAGTAGTCAATGAGTACTTCAGATTGTCAGGAAAATTGCCAGCATTAACTCTTCCAGTTCATGTTTTACTGGCAGCCTTGTAGTTGTGTATTGCAAAGTGCTCCCCCAAACATCTTTGTTTACTCTGCTTTGGTTAGAGCCCCCCACACTGAGTAGCAGAGCTGGAGGGACCCATTGGTTCTGGGCCCAAGGCCTGTTAGCTAGTGGATTGACAGCAGCAAGTCAACAGGGACACTCTGGCTTTTAGGCTTGACTAAAATAAAACATAAGTGTCTGGAATGAAGTCTATGTTCATGAGAAGTTGAGCATCATCCTATTTAGGGTGCTTGAAAAGAGAGCAGGGAGGAGGGAAAATGGAAACTTGTTGCAGGAGGACCTTAAGCTGGAATTTAATAATGCTGTCATCAGATTATGCAGCCAACAGCATCAGAAATTTAAGGTAATTTGAGAATCTGAGTTTTCACAGAATCAGGGGTAGAGGATGGATCAGGTGTCTGTTAGGAGGAGGATACAATGACCAGAGCACTGATGTTGCAGCACACTGCTGCGGTAACTCTGGGTTGCTGCAATATAATAACATATTTCTCTGTTGTAGAACTTTGCCAGAGTGAAAATGCAGGTGACCATGTCTCTCTCATCCCTGGTGGGGACGTCCCAGAACTTCAATGAGGAATTTTTGCGACGTTCCCTGAAGACTATTTTGACATATGCTGAAGAAGATCTGGAACTCAGGGAGACAACATTCCCTGATCAGGTAAGAGAAATATCACAAGAGAAGTGGAATTTAGTTCATTATCAGGCTGTTCTTAAACCTCCATCTATAGCTGAGGTTTGTGTGCATTCCGTGAAAGAGGTGCATAATGGTTTTTTTTATGACCTACGTGTATCAAGTTTAGGTCCTTTATTAACGCTGACAAAAAAATCTTTGAGCAAACGCGCAAAGATTGAGAGCGACTGTGGTCCTAACACAGCGGTATTTAGCTTGGCTCCCATTGACAGTTCCTTATAGCACTATATTTGTTATAGGTCCAGGATCTTGTGTTCAATCTCCATATGATCCTCTCTGACACAGTTAAAATGAAGGAGCATCAAGAAGATCCAGAAATGCTGATTGACCTGATGTACAGGTAGAGTTTATAACTGTTGCACTGCAGGGACAGTAAATATCAGTGCTCCACATGATGTTTGAACAAAGCTTAATACCTACTGCACTTCCTGTGTTTAGAGCCTGAAATACTGTATTGCTATGAGCTTTGATTACTCTTTCTTTTTAGTAGCAATTGTTTTACTTTGAACTTAAGCATGTCATCCACTGTCATCACTTTTTGTGATTCACATTTCACCTGAAGTCAACAGGCTACTTGCTTTTCGGATGTGGGCTCAAATGCTGCTCACTTGAGCCCTTATACAGCTCGCTTTTTGAGTAATTACACTGCAGTTCCCAGTCTCAGTGCTCAGGGACCACTATACACAGAGAGCAGTATTTCTCAGGCTGTATCTGCACCCTAAGCATCCTCTTATTCCACAGGCAAGGGCAGGAACAACAGCTGCAATTGCTTGCAGCTGTGACCAGCCAATCTAGGCAAAGGTGCCCTTCAAGATACTTGTTACTACCAAGGAACTAATGTAGTCCTTACAGTTTGTCACGTCTGTCGTGTTTGAAGGTAGTATTGATAAGCTTCTTTGGCGTTTATCCAGCTTATCTTGGATAAAGGGAATTTCCGTTCCCCAGCAGTCTCTGACAATCTCATCCTCCACTTCAACACGGACATCTGTCCTTCCCTGCCTGCATCAGGGAAGACTTAAGGATCTTCCAGGACGTACTTGTACAAAAGGCTCTTCAGTGATGGTACATATAATGGTCTCCATATGCAAAAAGGATTTCTTAGCCACGTTAAGATCCCTAGATAGAAAGTTGCTAGAGCACCGACCTCCAAACTGCATGGTATTGTCTGCACTAATAGTCCTGAGGGCTTCTTAAAAGGCAGAGATTTTGTCGTAAGCAGCCTGACAGCTCTGCCCTTATTGTTCCTCCCCTCTGGCTTGGTGCAGGCTTCCAAGAGGAATATGAGCTCTGATCAAGAGCTTCAACAGTCACCCATAAAAGTATTCTGCTAGCACAGGGTAGCTGCAGTTGCTTGTCACCCAGTAACTGGCTCGGAAATATAGAATCATTTAGGATAACTTCCCATCTATATGGAATACTAATCACAGAGCTTATCTTTTCAATTAGGATTGCAAAGGGCTATCAGAATTCCCCTGACCTGCGGCTGACCTGGTTACAGAACATGGCTGGGAAGCACTCCGAGAGGAGCAATCATGCTGAATCAGCCCAATGTTTGGTCCATTCGGCAGCCTTGGTGGCTGAATATCTAAGCATGCTTGAAGACCGGAAATACCTCCCTGTAGGGTGTGTTACATTTCAGGTAGGAGTGTGCCTTTTTTATCCTCCACAAGGTATTTTTGAGTGTTGTCATCTGCTGCCGAGATACAGAGTATTTCCGAGCACCAGGTATTGCTGTGCCTACATATTCATATTGCACTTTGGCAGTTTGTTTTGGGGAGAACAGGGTAGAGCAACTTCAGAAAATCTTTACATGAAGACTGTCTTGGTTCCCCGGAATCTTTTTATCTGTAGGCTAAATGGACCCAATTCTTTTTATTTCTCCATTTAAGTCATGTCTTTTAAGGCCTCATCTAATAATACCATTCTTAGTTCAGACATTGTGTAGTAGGTATAATTGTTCTGGAGTAACTGATGAAAATGGTTCCTGTGATTGCTAACATTAAGCCAAGAAACACTGAGCAGAGTAAACAAGCACATACTTAGCTTTGAACCTGGTGCAGGTTCAGTCCAGTGGACTTAAAACTGAGCATGTGCTGAATTGCCCTGCTGGATCCGAAGGAAATGAGATAAAATGCATGGGCAAGCTGCCTCTTTAAAAATTTTAGAACGTGATCGAAAATCAGCTAATTTTCAATGTATTCAATGTTACTTAAGTTGAGTGTAAGTATTTTATCTGAATTATGTCTCCTTAGAACATATCTTCTAATGTTTTGGAAGAGTCAGCAGTTTCTGATGATGTTGTATCACCAGATGAAGAAGGTATCTGTTCTGGGAAGTATTTTACAGAAGCTGGTCTGGTGGGATTGCTGGAACAGGCTGCAGCATCTTTCTCAATGGTAGAAGACTTTAATTTCTTTCTCTGTCTCTTTAGCAATCTTACACTGCTGGGCAGTGTGAAGGAAGATGTTTTCTTTATGAGACTCTGTGGCTCTATTGTAACCACTTAATTTGTATGGAGCACTGGGAGTGTTAGTTGTTAAAGACAGCTCAGTTTGCACTCACAAGTAAAGTGTGCAATGAACCAGGGCTGGACACCAAGAGGCTTTTGTGCGTTTTTAAGATCTTTCACTTGAACACTGCACATTCTGGAGTTCAGCGAAGAAAGGCTGTTCTGTTTTCCTTTCTTCTGGAAGAGAGTGAGCTGAAAGCTTTGTTTGTAGAAGATGGGGCAGCTACTTTAAGAGGAGCAATGTTAATGGGCTGGTAGCAGTGTATCCATCAGAAAACAGTGAAAGCAAGTGAGTTATGTCCCACAACATGATCTGAAGTCTCTGCTGGTTGGTTGAAGTACAAGCAGCAATAACTGCAGAGTTTAGACTTAGAACCACCCCCTGCGGGCTGGCTAAGCCACACGAAGCAGATCTCTTGCACTTGAGACATTCTAGGGAAACTTCACAAAGCACACCTCATGGAGTGCCAAAAGTGGACATAGAAGTCACACAGCTTGAAGTTGCACTAAGCAGAATGGCCTCTATTGTGCTTTTAAGCTTCCATATTTCATTGTTATAGGTTTGATTAGGATCCTGTTTTTTTTGCTCTTGAGCATATATCCATCCAAAACATGCCAACTTTGTTTATTTTAATAGTCTCATTTACTAGTAGCAATGTGTAATGCAGTAGGCTCTTGATTCCATCGATAACTGGGGGTTTTATCCCATTCATTTACATGTATATTTTAAGAAAAGGTTCTCATTACATCACAGTGCCTTTTGTTATCTATGCCATCTTTTCATTCTGCAGTCTTACTATTTGAATGCTGTGAGTATGCATGCTGTGAGTATGCATCATACTTGCTTTTGAATTGATGGAGCCATCTGATGGGCCTTATTTTTGTAGGCTGGCATGTATGAAGCAGTTAATGAAGTTTACAAAGTCCTTATTCCTATACACGAAGCTAACAGAGATGCCAAGAAGCTATCTACTATTCATGGTAAACTCCAAGAGGCATTCAGCAAGATTGTTCATCAGGTAATGCTTTGAATTTTGAGCTGCATTGAGAATTGTGAAGAAATTTCAAATGCTTAGCGCTGCTAAAAACTACCCACCAAGGAAGAAGTATTTAAATCAGATTACACGAAAATTGTCAAAACGATGATCCACAGTAAATGAAGGATCACTGACAGGTTTAGTTCTCTCAGAACACTTACTGTTAGAAACATGAGAGAACATCACATAACTTTTGGTGTAACTTGAGAAGTTTCCAGGAGTTACAGTTATCTGTCAGCTTATCATTTCGGTTGTTGTTTTAAAAAGTTTTTTGCATGCTGTGTTTCTGCTTAGGGAAAAACAATGATTTTTGCCTTTGGCCTTGTAGATAACATTGAGAATTGTGAGGATTTTATTTTTCTTTGCATATGGTGGATAAATTATTGAAGGAACCTTTTTAAACTTAGATGGTGCAAAACCCACCAGTTTAATTAAGTACTAAGCATTCTATAAGAGACATCAAAAGTTATCGACCCTGACTAAGATCAGGAGACCTCAGCTAAGCAGGAAACGAGAGAGCTTGGCAACTCTCAAGAAGTGCATATTATCTTCTAGGAGCCTATTGGGCGCATGCCTGTCTGTAAGGGCAGGCAAGCACTCAGCAGGCTCCCCTGCAGTACATGCCAGTGCTACTCTGAGCCCCGTACCCCAACCAGCTTTCTGATCAGGGACTACTGGGTACCTCATCTGTTGATTTAGTTACCCTTATGCTAACATCACCTCCTCTGTAGATGTCTGTTAGTGCATCTATTTCATAGGGTCCAGCTGGTCTACGGCAGCTGCGGGTCTGGTTGTTACGTCCATGTTCTGGCATTGCCAGACTCCTGAGGTTAAATGAACCGAGAGAGGACGATTATCTAGTGTCCTTCTGGGCCAGAGAAGGCCATTTTGGATGCATGATGGCGTAGACTCATTGACACCGTTTCAGGTTAATGATACCTTACATTAATGGTCATGTTTTGGCCTTTGAAACTTTTTTTGGGTTTCTGTGACATGCGCTTTTTACTTTTTATTACACAGAGTACTGGCTGGGAGGTAGGTAACTCCATTTTAGTTAGTAAAGAACACTAATAGATTTATCAGATGACTCACGCCAACGCTTGCCCACATGTGCTAGTTGTGGGTATTTCTGTTGCTGTCTGCTGTTAAAACTGAATTCATTAACCAAAGAAATACCAATAAACTGATTGTGGTTGTAGTAGGAAATTCTTCATAAGAAGCTGTAGGTAGTGCATGGATGCTGATGTGTTCCACTAATGAGGTTCTTTGGTGAATGAGTCACTGTATCATCACTAGTTTGTTTTTATAATTTGTTTATATTTCTTTTCATCAGCATTGACACAGAATATCATCCCTTCATGCCATATTTTCACCCCACCCACAGGGGTCGATTTAAGCAATAATGCTCAGAGGTACTGAAAAGCAAAACTGTTTTATTGTGTATGCAGACCGTATCTCAGACAATAGGCTACTTAATTCTGTTCATTTAAGAACAATCAATTTGTTATGTAGCTGTTTGTCAGGCAGTAAAATAGCTCAGTTGTGTTAACTGGAGTCGGTTTTGCTGCTTTCATTTTTGTAGAGGCAGAGGCTGTTTGCTCACATTTCTACAACATACACCACAAGAACCACACATTTAGATTAAAAATAAACAAAGTAGTCTGCTTCATCTGTACGTTACGCACAGCACTGTGAGTCTGATAAATCAGGCCCGAGTCCAGTTGACACAGTTGGTACGTAAACTTTGAGACGTCTCAGAAGACATTTTAAATGTTTTGTGAATATGATGTTCGTTCATTTGCTTAGACTTAAGCCATTCAGTTGATTTCTGTTTTTCTGTGAATCAGGCAACTCAGTGTGACCCAATTCACTCCAAGTTTCCAACACAGGAGAGCATTTAAGCCCACGCTTCCTGAACTGGGGCCTAGATGGAAGTTCTTTTGCATTGTGTGACATAAATAATTTGGGCTGATGATGTCTGAACTTCAGTTTTAATTCTGGCCTAATAAAAAGTGAAATTCAGTAGCTTAAAAGTAACCCCTGACATTCAAGGGCTGGCCCTGTTAATCATTTGCTTATCATACTGTGAAAAGTGCCTGTAGATGAGGTAACACAGCTCTCCAGAGTACGTGCCATAGGAACGTAAGTGATACGTGTTCACTGTAATGAATAGGAAGGCCTGTGAGCATCTATTTTGATCAGTCTGCCCCTAAATCGACCCCTGAAGAAAATCCTGTCATTGGTTATGATTCTAACATCACTCAGTCATGTTTTATTGCATGGTAAAAGACACCCATGGTTTATGTTCTTGTCTGTCATCGTGCTCTCTCATTGCCATACTTTTTCTGATCTTTGTGCTTTGTAGCTTTCAGATTTGTTGCATGTTTTTTTCCTTTTCCCTTATTTTTAAGTGCTTTAATTGATGCTCACCCTTTTTTATTTTAAAGTTTATTTGCTGCCAATTTGCTGCTTGTTTGTTTTTTGGAATTTCCCTAATTAAATACTTTCTGTTTTCTCCTCTATCGCCCTGGTTGCTGACCCTCCTCCCCACTCTTACTATTGTCTGTTGTGGTAAGTTCCTACTTGTGGATTTTTTCCTTTTTTTTTTTTTTGCTTTCCTTCCCTTCCCCCCCCCCCCTTTTTAATTTTATCCTGTGGAACCCCCAATTTCATTTTACCAAAGAGCTATGCCAACAGCAGGATTTACCGCTTACGTCACAGGGAAAGCAGTATTGCCAACTACAAGCATGGAAGTATCCTGGGTCAGGCACCAAAGCATTTGAGACCTGCTTAAACATACCAAGTGGTGGGTTTTTCTCCTCTCTGTTTGTTTGCTAAATAAATGTTGCATTCTTTTCATTTACTTTCCAGTTAGGAAGTTTCTAGGAAAAATCTTTTCATGCCTTGCCATGAGAATTTTAAAATGCTCTTTTTAGTATGCAAGGTGAGGTGCCGTCTGACAACAGGATTCCAGGAGCTGGTACCTTATAAAAAATTAATATTGGAAGACTTGCAATAGTTGGCAACACTGCAAAAGGACCTTGAATTAAAATAGAGCAAGAAAGTACAATGCTCGGTTTAGTAAAGATGGTTGGCTTTTGCATTCTGCACAGTGTATATGAAGTGTGTATGTATATTTTTATTCATACACGCTTTGGGCTGATTCTGCCTTCAGGCAGCTATGCTACTTTCTTGGTCTTAGTGAAGAAAACAGATGATCACTCATGTCTAATTTTTCAAATCTTGTTGGCAAAGCTTTTTGTGTGTATGTAAGTGATAACTCTAAAACTTTATTCCCAGCAATTTTGAAAGGTATTTACCATGCATAATAACAAATCATGAAACTTCATAAATCATGGTGGCTGTTATCTGCTCTGCCAGTTCTGTGATGGCTATTCAGTGTTCACCTTCATTCTCTTCTCCTCCCAAAGACCTATTATTTTTCATAAAATAATAGGAGATAAATTGCTTTTTAATAATTTCTCCCTCGTATCTGCATTTTTAGCCTCTTTTCAGAAACAAGACCATGGAGTATTTTTAAGTTATTTATTTTGTTTTCAGTACTGTGATTACAGAGAGTTCGTTATTGACTAAATTTCAATGGAAAAATTCTGCTAAGGATTACAGAGCCATCCCATGTTCTTAACTCCAGGCGAGAAACTGAGCTTGTCTAATCTCAGGGGGCTCACAGCTACTGAATGCGTACGTGGAGTAAAGAATAGCCATTAGGTGTTTGCTCACCTGGAGGAATGTGTTTCCAGCTCCTTGTTTCCAGGTGCAGACCCCAGCCATGGCTGCAGACTGGGAAATTCCTTGTGTAAAGGGATGAACCTGGGGGAGGCAGCCTGGCCGAGCTGCTCCCCTGGCAGCCCTTCACAGGAAGACAGCAGTGGGAAAGCTGGCAGGCAAGAACAGTAGAAATAGCCTTGGACCAGGGGTGCCCAGGACTGGCATCAGATCTCCTCACACACGAAGTCTACAGTGCAGATGTTCCTCCGCTTTCACCTACAGTCCCTTTCTTGCAATGGAAAGCCACTATAAACAAAAACAACTTCCTTCCTCAAGCCCTCGTGCTGGCCCCTCTCCTTCCTCAAGTATGGCTTGACCTGGCCTCCCCCAGCCGTTCCTCCCAGTCCTGGAGTATCCTGGACTCACTCCCAAGTCCTG